TTTTTTTTTTTTTCTCCCCCCCCCCCCCCCCCCCCTTTTCCATTTCCCTCTCACCCAAGCCCTGTTGGTATAAGCAAGCACTCCAACAGCAATTTCAGCTCCAGCCATAATGGACACAATGACAGAGAACTGAAAGGAGAAAAATACATTAATGAACCCAATCAGAACACTTAAATCAAACTGACAAACATATGTAAACAAGTAAACTACCTGTATAACACTTCTTCCACCACTGTCTCCCACTACTATGCATGTGCATCAATGACAAGGATATGCAAATGTCTGCTTGTTGTTTTCACCAGTAGGAAAAGCGCATACCGTCAAACTTAATAGGAATATAAAATGATACACTTCATAAAACATGCAAGGACAAGCAGGCAGTGTCAGTAATATGAGTCACAATAACAGTTAAGCCTGTTTTTTTGTTGCCTTGAGCTGGAAACCGGCTAAATATTCCCAATACAAACAGTACGCTGCAGTTAGTTTCTGTGCAAATGTCTTTGCTGAATTGCAATTCTGTGCTGCAAATCAGAGTTTGTCACAGCCTGTTTCTTTCTACAGCACACAAGCCTTCTCAGACTTCCACCATTGTGCTATGTAACAGTTAAGGAATGTCTGTGAACTTTCCCAAAGGGACACTGGGACGAGACTATGAGATAAGACCGGAAAACGCCGTGGACCAGGAAAAAGAATGAAAGAAGTAATTGAAGTTATTCTGGAAATCAGATCAGAACCATGTTTGATTTTGCAACACATTTAACCCCACTGTGGCATAGTAGGGGATATAATGTAGCACACCAGTCTACAAACTGTCCCATCTAGAAAGGATGACGAATGACAACAAGAATGCCAAATAAAGACAAAAGCTCAGAGTCCCGGACATTCAGAGGGCTCACCAGAGGCAGAGCTACGTGCTTCTGTTTGCAATTTTCACAAATGGGACAATACTGTGTGATATATACAGCAATATAGTGTATATCCAAGAAAAATACAAGATAAAACAAAATGGACAAAGTGACAATAAAAGAAAAGATAGACTTTCAGAAAAATAAAAAGCAGGGCAGATTTGAATGGAATAGTGGGTACTGATAATTGCATTTTCTTTTCTTTAATATGGTCAAGAAAGGGAGCCAATACTTTATAAACAGTATTTTGTGGAGCCCCGTAGCAAATAGTTCATTTCCTCTAGCTTAAGAATACTTTCTTAAGAATACTTAGTATGCCTTTGATCCAGAGAGTTAAGCCGTGCATATTTCCATTTAAATACAATTAGGTGTGTGGCATGTAAAGTAGCAAAGGCCATACAGTCAGCTTCAGTCTTAGATAGTAGGTGAGGGTCTGGAGGGGCACCGAAGATGGCTGTGAATGGGCATGAGTCAATTGTTTTCTTCAGGCATTCTGAGATTGTTTTAAAGATGAGAGACAAAACTTCTTGAAGCTTAGCACAGGGCCAGAACATGTGGGCTATTTACATTCCTCCCTGGCATCTGTTTCGAGACTTTGTTCGTTAAAATTCTGGAGAAAATGTTTCAGGAACAAGAGTAATGACAGTCTGTAAAAGAAAGCAGTTCGTCTGCATGTTGATCATTTGAAACCGACCCATAAAACCTTATGTTAGGTTGTTAACTCAATCAACTTGTGTCCATCTAAATCTGGGATCTCAAACTCAAACTTGGGGCCACTGCTGGTATTGTCATCTCATAAGAGGGCCACTGCAACGTTCGAGGGCTACAAGAAAGTGAACTTATACTTAACCCAAAAAATGTAAAACGGTCATTTCTATACATTTTTATCTCATCATTTCATCACCTCTCACCAAAGTTTCAGGACTACAATATAATAATATATATTATTGGATTATAATAACTAATAGATTGATGTTGCAGATAGTAATGGTGGGGCTAATTTTAATTACTTACAAACTGCTTAAGTACAGTACTTAAGTAAATGTACTTAGTTACTTCCCTACACCAGGAGTAACCAGCACCTTTTAATCACTCCTACATATCTTGACAGGTGTACCGATAAATATTTGACTGTCAAAGAAGTAAATTTTTGATGTTACAGTATGTCCATTGTGTAAGGAATGCTATTACACAACATGAAAACACAACTGCCTGTGGCTCCACTTTACACGGAAGTTAGTGTGAAAAAAACAATCTCACCACTTGCAGAGCACATTTTTTCTCACTGCAGGCACCGTAGTCTCCGAACGACACCATGATCAGAAACACTACCCCGAGAACTATCAGCACCGTCACAGCTGGTAAAAAAGGAGGCAGAGACACAGGTCTGTGATTAAATATGGGATAAATGTATAATATAACCCATTTTTTGGAGAAATTACAAAAGTGTGTGTGTGTCAAATAGGCGCTTACCGGCAACAAATGTACTGGAGTTGAGGGCTTCTACTTCGAAGATGCCTCTGGTGCCAGCGCTAAACCGCAGCCAGACACCAAGACCCAGAAAGACAAACCCCAGCACCTGCAAAAACACAAACGTCAAACAAAACCCCGGTGTGAATGTGCAGCACTCTGAGATTCAAAACAATGTTTCAGACGTAAAATGAAACCAGCCTGAATCAGGGGCGTCTCTGGGAGATGGCGTGGCACACTGCCACCCCATTTTGTCAGAGGTTGGACCTGACTCTAAACCAACGAGTAAACCAGACATTTTGTCTAAAAAATGTTTTAAAAGTTAGAAAAGGGTTTGCGAGCCGACACAGGAACTTAACTGAATTAAACCGTTTTAAACGTCCACACAGGCTTATTTATTTTAAT